CCAAGGCATTACTCCCACGTCCCATTCTCTCTCCTATCCTCGATTCTCCTTTCACTCTGACTTTCTCCCTCTCTCTCCCAGCACACACGCTTCTCTTTCCGTTTGAACGCGCCTCCTTCGAGCGTCCGGATTCCCCCGGAAATGAAAAGCAACCATTTCAGCATCCCGTGAACCCGTCAGCCAAGAACCGGATGTCGCGTCATACGTTCGTTCGGTTTTTTTTTTCCGCGTATTTTTTTTCCACTTCAATTTCAAATAGGCAAGAAACGACGATGGTCGACCGATAGGAAAAACTGGATTTTCACAAAGCCAAGGTCTGTCCTACGAAGAGTGAATCTAAGTAGGCTATCGAAAACACGCTCGATGGATCGATCGGCATGCTGGTAGGAGGAACACGAGGACGGAGTACAGGGTGCTCAGAGCGATCGAGCCACCAGATAGCCGTCTTATTAATAACGATATTCATATCGAGTCGATTTGCCTCGTGGAACGTACGCTAACGAGCCAGTGGCCTAAAGAAGTAAGTCCCAGGGCGGGATGGCCGACGGGACGCGTCGTACACGGCTTTTAAGATTCCGGTAGCCGGTAGCCGAGCCAATAACGCTGGCGTTAAAATATGGTAATCGTGCCGCGGGATCGGCATATCGACGGCTTGACAAACGATGCGACGCCCGGAGCCGAGGACCACCAACAGATCGTGCGCACGCCTGCTCTCGGCCACTCCGCTATCATTTGTTATGTACGTGACTCGGGCCCTCGGCCTGGCTGGCTATCCTCTGCTATCCTCTGCCATCCTGCCATCCTGCCATCCTACCGTATTGCCATACCACCATACTATCGTACTGCTATACTGCCGTTCGCTCGGTGCCATCGAAATAAGAATCCCACTGGCAACTTCTTATCTCCACGGCATCCGCTGGTATAATGGCTACCGAACAGAATCCGGTATTGCACTACTGTATAGGTACTCATCGATTTTCAACTACAGCTACTGTCCTATACCGGATGATTCTCGGACATTGCTTCCAAAAGATTATTCATTCTAGTCGATAGAAACAGACGCTGTAACGGATCCTCCTCCTGATGTCCCTGAGCCGACATACCGATAGGATTATCATGCACGCGCCGCTGCCTTTCTCAGCGTGTTAACGATAGAAACGAGTCGACAGCCGATCGAAGAGGACCCGTTGTCACGGGTGGCTGTCCCGATTCGTTTAAGTGGTATGAAAAGATTCACTTGGAAATCCAACCAGCCTCCGGGCTCAGCTCCTGCCAGCCATCCGGATCAATCCTATTACTGGACGCGTCTATCTCGACGCGGATTCCCGATCGTTTACGATCAGTCCTATCGTCTGAACTTGCTCCGGGTTCCCTCCGTCTCCGTTCCTTCCTCCGCTCCTGAATCAACCTCGTGTCCATGTCACTTTGGATAAAATTTCTATACGATCCCCAGCATCCCAGCGACCACTCTCTCTCCGGCTACCGTGTGAGCTCTGCAGTTCGGTTTCACGTGGACATGAAAAAAAGAAGACAGAGACACGTACAATTTCCACAGCACGTACCACGGCGATATTCGCAGGAATAAAATAGATAGTTCTTTACCGTTAAGCCACGAACTGGTATGACTCAGGATATCGTTTGTAGGATACCTATCATACGTACGGGTCGCGAATACCAATTGGATTACATACGGCCGCCGTGGGCTGTATGGTCGCGGAAGATAGGTACAAAGTTAGAAAATATTTAAGACGTAAAAGGTTCTCCTTGATCTCAGGATTTCGCAGGTATTATTAGGAGGCTGCCTTCTTCTTGTATAATCATATATTGAGCGCGAGGGGAGGCGCGGGGAGAGGTAGAAGGATCTCTCCGTAATGACGGGACATAAATAACACAGACGTTTACGTGCGCATTGATTTAAGCAAACTAATGATTTCACTTTGACCGACCGGCGGCAAAGGCCCGCAGAAAGTAGGCCCCGGGACGCCGACCGCCTGTCATATTGACATTTATATCCGCACGTGTAATTTACATGTCTACCTATGACAATTACTGCCCCAAAGATAATCTCGAGAGCGCCTTGATTCTTCTTACGTTCTTCGCTCTCAGATATTCGATTCGCTCGATGGAAATCCTAGATCCGCAGTAGTCGTGCAGTTGTACAAACAAGAGAGACGGGTAACCGTAGCAGCATAGATACGGCCCTGAGGTTTACGAGAGTTCAAGTTCATTCGACTTTGAAACCTCTATACCGACGTCCAAGCCGTCTGCTTGTTGTTGCGAATATTCGATAAATCGAGGTACGAATAGTAAGGAATAGCATAAAGTTTTCCTGACAGCCTATATCTACGGGCAACCCTCCCACATACGTCGCAGGCAGCGTCGCGACGTCTGACAGGGAAATCCGCGGATACGGCACAGAGGTAGACTCATATATTCAGTCCGTTAGCTGCAGCGTCCGATAAGTCTGAAGGGACTGAGCCGTAGGAGATGACATTGACGGGCTAAGCATGGGACTTAAAGCCGAGCTTAACTCATCAGTCAGTACGTGATACTACTTAGTATTTACCTAAGTTGAATTCGCGAGAGGGACGGACGAATGGGAGAAACAAACTAAGAGAATGAGAAAGAGAGAGACGTAGCCACGCGACCTTTATACGGAAGTCACGCTAGCACCGGAAGGTGTCTCCACGCTTCCTCTTTCGAGAGAATGACGTAGGGATGATAATCGCGAGGTACTTCCTCCGCTGCTACTCGGATAGAGAATAGGGGTAGCATTGGGTTGGAGTTAGAGATGGCTGCAGGTACAGGGGGGG